ACTCTCTCTCTCTCTCTCTCTCTCTCTCTCTCTCTCTCTCTCTGCACAATTGTGAGCAGACCTACCCATCTTTAGCTTAAAACTAGGCCACAGTTCATGCCATCCTTTCCCACATTATACCAATAAAACACATTTCCTACTAGTAAATACTCAATCTTGAATTTCTTAGATTTCACACTTTGGGACTTACCTCCATTATCAAGCTTTTTTAAAAGAGAAAGTATAACTATATTCAGAAACTAAAACTCTCAAGATACTCATTGACTTAGAACGATGTTTTTCGATCTGTTCTAAGGCCTCGCTTTCTACGAAATAAAATAGAAGCACCCGAAGGTTCGTTCTGTGGCCTGACGTTGCGGTTTGAAAGCAGCCTAGTCATTATGTCACTGACAAATATGTTTTGTCCAGGACCAGGGATCTGGTATATATAAAGTCCGAGTCCGTAGTTGTTATCACGACATATCTGCTTGGTGAACTTACACAGCTGAAGTCTTCTTCCTAGGAAAAAGGATTTATTTAGGCAAATCGGTGCCATAGAGCACCCAAGTCTGTGAATAGTTTAAAAAGATTTATAAGGTAAGCATGGATTTATGTAAAAGGAATAACATCAGTTTGATAATTAATTGCAAATGTTGATCTTTTTAGAGCATACCATAAATATAAGTACAGGCTCGAAAGTTAATTGATCGTCATTGCGTTGTTTAACGTTATTTGTTGTCGTTGTTAGTTTTTCTTTTTCTTTTTGCTTTCTAGTTATCCGCGAGGATTCATTAACGTTGAACAATTTGACAACCACTCAGTTGTGTGCAGTGTTCACGTCATTTGTCGAAGATGTAATGTTCTGTTATATTTATTGTCTGATCATGGAGTTTAGACGACAAGTCTGCCTTGCTATTTACTCTGAAGGTGCTTTGAACGGTCTTTCTCTAACTCGTACCTAACCCTGGTCGCTTCATCCAATGTGTACTTTATAAACTCAGTGCACAATGTTATCGTAATTTACTGTTGTTGGCCTTGCGTATGTGTAACAATGTGTTTTGTTGTTTTGTTGTTGTTGTGATTTTTGGTGGGGTTGTTGTTTATTTTGCTTTTTTTTCTTCTAAATCTCTTATGTTTCATTAATTTTCACACAATAGAAGATAAATAACGATAACATCATTTGATCGAACACATTAGTGTATATCAGTACTTTGAAGGTAGCTGCAGGCAAATTCAATAATTCATACAATCAGAGACAATCTGCAACTGCCAGTGTATAAGTAGCCCTTATTTATTTTGAATTCAATGTGATGTCGTTTCAGCGAGCCCAGTGAGTGGAAGAGGTGAAAACTCCAGGATGTCTCCATTATCTCTGTGTGTTTCCTTCCTGTTCGTCTTGACCGTGTCTGTCGCTCAGGGTCGTGACATCGCCTCCAACCTTCACGGTATAGCGTTTGCTGCCGTCACCACTGAAGACGCCCAACGTGCCGCTAGATGGTACTCAGAGTTTTTGGGAGCGAAACATTTGACTGATCTGTCGTTCTCGTTTTACGGAGATGAGCACTATTACAGATTCTTCCAGAAGGAGATTCTGGAGGCGCGGGCACAGGGCATTGACCCTGACCGTCTGGGTGTTCCGGATATCAGTGATAATGGCAACTATGAGGTAGGATGTTTGTGGTATCTGTGTGCTTAAAGCGGGTGGTTGGAGAACGCTTTTAATATGATTCCTATCTCTTACACGTTTTTCTTTGTCTTTCGATCTCTCTCTCTCTCTCTCTCTCTCTCTCTCTCTCTCTCTCTCTTTCTCTCTCTCTCTCTCTCTCTCTCTCGCCTTTCCCATTTTGCCTCAGCCTTCTTTCCTTCTTTCTTCTTTAAGCACTATTAAAATATGTGACGGATTTAATAATAATAAGATGTAACACAATATAGTTTTTTTAAATATAAAGAGAAAAACAATCGTGTGTGTGTGTGTGTGTCTGTGTGTGTGTGTGTGTGTGTGTGTGTGTGTGTGTGTGTGTGTTTGAGTCTTTGAAATAGAGAAAGAGAGAAAAAGAG